TGTTTGAAGAACTTCATGTAATTAAAATTAACATACATTCATTGACCGCTTATATTTTTTACTTTTTCGCTGGCGATATAATATCATTCTTTGAACAGCTGTAATATCTGTCTTGCCTAAAAAATATTTTCCATTTTAATAACTTCAAATATTTATAGAAACTAAGAATAATATAGAAATAATTTTTAATCAGTAAACTTACTTTTAGTTCACGGAACAAATGTGTAATTTATTATTTTCAAGGAACAGGGTAAACTATTTTTTTGATTCAGGCATTTTTCATTAAATCAAGATTTGTACTACGATGTAACTTTAAAATGTTTATTTATCTATGCCAATTTCCTTGTTGATATCGGTACGCATACAACGTTGTTGACGGTACGCATACAACGACAGATCTCTATTCACATACACGACGACTAATCACAATCGACCCGAATAGAAATGATATCATCGAGAGCGAATGACGAATCATTGGCACTCGACTCGACCGTAACGCACTTCCGTTGCATTTGTACGGATTTACACCCTAGTCGCGGCTGAAGAAGTTTTACTTCAAAATTTGTTTGAGCTTCTGTCTGCAAAATAAGAATTAATGAACCGATTCTGCCGCATACCAGGCCAATGTTATGGCAAGGATATGTTATGAAGAACTTTTCATACTAATTCGTTCTATATAATTGGCTAAAGCCATGTGTTTTTTGGTGCAGTCAGGCGTTTTTCTCATGTTGTCAGATAGAAAACCTAACCTGAAAACCGCACAAATGTCAAAAAACGATCTTTGATAACAGGATATTTCTGACCCAGCTTCATAACTTACATGTGACGTTGCAGTTTTTGTGTAAAACGCCTGACTGCACAGCAAATACATGACATTTTGGCAATATTTAGTATAAATCAGTAGCATAATGCATGCAAGTTGGAGCGTAGCATGGCCTTATCATAATATCGGTCTGTTGAGCGGCAGAATCGACCGATAAGTTACAAATACAAATTACGAATTTTTACATAATTTTTTAACGATATTATTTCAAAGTAGAGAGAACAAGGGTTGTAATCAGCCATCGCCTTAAGTAAGGCGACATCTCTATCGCTAGATAAACGGCCACAATGTCAATTTTTTAACGAAAGTATTTTTTTGCTGTTATTTTTTTTTTTTTTTTTTTTTGAAACTGTTGTTTTTAATTTTTAAGTATACATTAATTAATTATTTCAAAACTGATATTATTATCTTTAAGGTTATAAAAGCTTACATGTGATTGAGGTAAAAAGAACAAACTAAACCTTTGTACTGCTTAGCAAAGGAGTGAACAATAAGAAAATAGTATAAAATGAAATGCATCAAATATAATGAGTTAAAATGGCTATTTCACAAGATATAAATTAAATTAATAGTTATTCCAATTCTGATGGTAAATTCTTCAGACCAAGTTCCATTGTATGTAACGTGATCTTTGTAAAAAAAAGGTGCTATAAAAACTGTACTTCAAACAGAATTCACCTTATTTTTGATAATTGTATTTCAAGAAACAAGTCTGTTGATTTTTTTTATTAAACAATATTTACAACTGTCCTGCATAGACATTAAGTAAATCTTTTGGCAATTATATATGAAAAATGACATCGATATATAAATAGTGAAAAATGCACAGTTGCATTTTTTCTTTATAAGAAGTAATGTAATGTGACACAAGTAATTATAAGCTAATTAAATCACTAAATATTTTTATTTTGAGTTTTCGTGTTGTGTTTGTGGATAGCAGTGCGTTGGCCAACTCGTTTGGGTGTTCTTCGAGTCTGTCTTTGTGGTTAACAGCCAGATGGGAGTATATTTTGGGGCGCCTAGAGCGATCCTAAGGACTTTGTTCTGAAACCTTTGAATAATGTTAGCATTACTTTTAGATGTAGTGCCCCAAAGTGCTATGCCATATGTCCAAATCGACTTAAGTACAACTTTATATACCAGTAGTTTGTTGTGTACAGAAAGATGGAATCTCGTACCAGTTAAATAATATAGTTCACGTAACTTTTCCTCAAGCTGTTGCCTTTTCTTTTTCATGTGAATTTTCCAATTCAGTTTGCGGTCCAGATGCATGCTCAGATACTTTACGTGTTCGACCTGAGGGACTTCTATTTCATTCACAGTTACTGGTGGGCATGTCTCGTGTTTGAGTGTAAAGTGATGTTGGGATGATTTCTGGCCATTGATGTCAAGCCTCTACAGTTTGTACCATTTTTCTTATGATGTTAAGTGACGTTGAAGTTTGCTCTGAAGCAGTTGTGGGATTTTCATGTTTTGAAAGAGTGCAGATATCGTCAGCAAATGAGGCTATGTCTTCTGTGTCAGGTGAGGTGGGAATGTCAGCTGTAAAAATTAAAAACAAAATTAGGCCGAGAACACTGCGCAAGTCTGTTGATCATAAAACGAAAATACACCTACTAAAGCAGATTTGTTGTGGTAATAAGAGTTCTTAAAGATTTTTGTTTGTTATATTTATTAATATTTAGATTGTTATATTCAATTTTGTTGTCTAATTCAATGATTAAACTGCATCGTCTTAAGTAAATAACGGACCCACTGATTGGATTATAGGGGACTTAAGATGTGACCCCATAGGCGTCATAAAAAGGGGCAGATGACAAATTTTAGAAAAATAATGAATTAGCTAAGAATTTTACTGAACATAGTTTGATAGTTGTTTGTTACGGGGGCGTTCATTAATCACGCGAAGTCTCTAGAGGGAGGGGGGTTTGACAAAATATCACGTGGCGGAGAGAGAAGGGTATAGTTAGATATTTTCCAAATATATAGTAAGACATTTTCAAAAAAAACTAAAATTTTACATTTTTTTCTTATAACTAAAAATATACGTGATGTTCGATGGTGGAGGAAGGGTAATTTTGAATATCACCACTATCACCAAGAGGTGATAAAATAAATTCTTAAAAAATCGTTCACGTGATTAATGGACGCTCTGTAATTTGTTGTGATGTAGTTAGATGGGTTTTCACGGTATAATTAACAAAATTCCAGATGGACCTTTGTGCCATGATCTATCTTACAGTAATTTTCGTTAATTTGTTCTAGAAAGAAACCTAAAACTAGTTGATTAATTTTATTTGATGTTCAGTCTATCGGTTTCCTCCTAAGTTGAAGAAAGGTTTTTCAACAGATCTCAATTCTTGGTCTAACACATGTAATTCTAAAATCAAACCTTATTTTGGAACTAAAATCTAGGTTCTTATATTGCTAATGAATGAAACGTAGTGCAAGAATTCATTGCGAAACTAGTAGTGTACTGCAATGCGCACTTAGTTAGCCATATTGCTGAACTTCCAATAAGATAATTATGAAATTATGAAAATAATTATATTATATATAATAGATTATACTTCATTAAAATTTCATGTCATTATGCCACTATTGCTTCATTTTATTTCATATAATATGCGCTCTTATATGCGGGTTCTAGTTTTTTTTTACTAAAGATGCAATACGCGGTTAACTAGTTTTTATTGCAAAATTGAATATATACATTCATATTAAAAAATAATTGTATCAAAATACAATAACTTACCCGTTAATGAAGTAATAAAAGTATAAAAACTTTGAATCTCCAAATGTGCCAATTCAAACTAAATGTAATTCCACACTAGGCTGGCACTTGACTATGAATATTACCCATGAATATTTCTATGTAGATAGCTTTGCAGTGGGTAAACCATTCATAATATTTGTAGTTGCTGCGTCTTTTTTTATATACCACATACTTCAGCATTTATAATCAATTAGTTATTTATTATACTAAATTTGTTTTAGAAATATTTTATATGGCTGAACGACGTTTGCCGAGGAAATAAAAAAGACAGTGCTCTTATTAATTTTTATTTAAACTAATTTATTGCATATGAAATCGCCGCCGAAAAACAACTGCAAGATACAGACTACTTACATTTTTAAATTTGTTTTTTATTTTTATTTTACATAATTATTTAAATATTTAAGTAATTTTTGATCTATAAAACACTCTTAAGTCTAGGTTTATATTAATTAATTAAAAATTTTGGAGAAAAGGATTTGTACTACATAGATCTACATGACGGATGAAAATAAATAGATTATTTTAGACTATTATAATTAGTTTTTTGCCATATATATAATATAATATAATATAAAATATTATTATGATATTAATAAATGTAAACTAAAATTTCTGGAAAATAGTCATATAATTTTTATAAATACATGTATTCATTGTTTTGTCCGCGGAGTTTTCGTACAAGATATTTTAATTTTAGTAGATCTATACAGTTACGTTTAATAAATATACTAATTCATTCCAAGGCAAAAAATTGTCATTTCCTGACTTACGACATAGTTTTTTCTCAGATTAATGTTGATATATTTGTTGAAGCCCAGGAACTTATATTAAAAAATCCGTTATTTAAAAGTTCAAACATCAAGAATAGTGTTAACAATTTTTGTTTTAGATATCTAATTACATCACTAGAAAGCTTATAATATATTAGCTATATTACAGTAAAACACAAGATATTTTCTATATCAGAAGTACAACATTGCAAGTACTTCTAATTAAATATGGAATCAATTTTTTTTGCTGTGGTTGAATAATATCAAGTTTATGTACTTTATCAGTACATACATCCATCCTAACGATATTAAGAACATAATAAATAATAATGGATTAATATAAAGCTTAAGTTGTCTTCAACAAAAATGTGCAGATCACATACAGTTTCTATCATAATGAATTATCTGAAACAATATTTCACTAATTAATACACATGTCTTCAATATAGAATTAATTTAATATATATATATATATATATATATATATATATATATTATATATATATATATATATATATATATATATATATATATATATATATATATAATAGACCTAAGCTTATTGTCTTCTACCACATATTATTAACTTACCCTAAAAAGTTAATATACCATTAAGTGATAGATGAGATCAATCCTCGCAGAAACAACCATCTTTGGAGTTTTCTCGTATCCATTGCAAGTATCGTGTGACTCTGGTGTACACACCAGGATAACCAGGACGAGCACAACCATTGCCCCATGATACCACTCCAATCAATTCGTATTTCTTATCTTCTCGTTGAGCAGATAGGGGCCCACCACTATCACCCTGAAAATAATATTGAGAAGAAAAATAATATTACTCAATATAATAATTATGTGACACACAATATTAGACTAATTTTACTTTAGAGAGCGTAATTATTTTTAACTTCCCGAATGAGAAGTTTGTTTTCGCCGAAAAATCTGAAAATCCAGAAAACCTATCATTCTGGATAGATTGACACGGAAATTGGAAAAATTATGTATGTGTGACAGTAAAAAATTAAAATCATTTGATAAAACACACTAAAGTCGCAATGCACTAAAGGCCAATAGTCATGCACAACGATCGGCCTGGCCGTTTTGTTTATTAGCAGATAATTGCCAAATATTTCGTCAACGTTTTATCCAAAAACCCTGAACCCATCTCGGAAATCCAAGGGTTATTTGGCAAATATCCCTATTTTGAAAGATGAGCCGAACTGTTTCTTTGCCATTAATTTTTGAAATTTTTTGACGATTTTAATTACTCTTTGCATAATGATAGACTTCGTGGTCTAATTCGATGATTCTCGAAGTGGTTAATTTGGATTCCCGTGGGTCCATGACAACTTTGAAGAGGTCCAGCGGAAAAAAACTTGCAGGGTCGACACAATCAAAAAGGGATTCCACTGTAGCAAATTTTAACACCTGTTAACATCTATTTACTGAATTCAACTAAAATTTAAAAAAAGATGTACTTTTTTATGAAAATGTGTAAATTGTAGCACATGTAGGCTTTTGATTTGTGGTCGTAATATGGCTCAAACTTGGCAGTATTATTTGCTCTTTTACAATGTAGATTTTGGCATACCTTAGAAAAAGTGGATGTATGTGTGTGTGTGCATATGTATGTTTACATACAATTTTTTCCACTATTTTGGGCGAATCGAACTATTTGAACATTCGATTCCTATTAATGGTAAAACGTGTTTAGTTTTTGGCGATGATAGGTCCAGTCGTCCAAAGATACGGGAAAAAAATGCCAAAAATGGTATTTCAGTTTTTGAGAGAATAGAGCATCCGATTTGAATGTTTCAAAAAACATTTTACTTTTATTGACGAAATGAACAATTTATTGAATTTTTGGAAAGACAGGTCCAGCGGTTTCAGAGATACAAAAGAAAAAGTAAAAAAGAAAGGATATTGGAGGTCAAAAATAACTAATGATTATTTTGTTCATTTGTTCATTAAATTATCAGATATTTTATAGAGATTTTATAAAATTAGTACTAATTTTGTTACAATTTTTTGGGATACTGCAAGAGTTTTAATTTTTAAAGTTTACTTGTTCAAACAAATATCATAATTTTCAGAAAAAATATTCAAAAATTTCAAAAATTTACAAAGTTTTACACTTTAAATATGAATTTTAAATTTATAGTTCTATTTAAAAATGTATATATTTCATATGCGTTATTCTAATCGTAAGAAATATATCCTCAGATAGATTCATTCGGCATCTCTTGTTAATGTAAACATTCTTTAGTGTTTTATGCGATAATATCGTCGCTATAATATACGAGCGATAAAATATATATTTAGAATTATCTATTTGAAAAGATTCAAAACAATTGTTATAAATTTTTGATCAATAATTATTGATTACTTATTTGTTTCCTCGAATATTTAATTCTGGTACGGAATGTTCCACCAATTTGCCTTAAGGCCCGACGCCATGCGCCACTAGTTGCTTACTTTACTTTGTCATTCTATATTCAATTTTATTCAACTAAATGTTTGAACCTAGTATGTATATTTACTTAAAATTTGAATAGGGTGATCATGGCAAAGTAAGGGATCCACAAAATGAAAAAGTTTGGGTACTTGCCGTATAAACATACATCCTACGAAAAGTAGTTTAATTGTAAAAGTTGGTTAAAGTTTGGAATAATAATACGCGCCTTTGAGATATATGAAAAGAATGAATAAGAAATTGCATTGATTAGTTTCTAATGAAAATCGAAATTTTTATTTGCTAAATGAGTTGCTGTCTCTTCTAAATAAATAAGTCGATTAACTAGACATTGAAGTTCAAGCATCTTTTATTCAGGTAAAATGTCGCATATTCTTACAATTACTTTAAAAAATTATTTAACCAATAAAGTTATGCTCAATCACGATATCATAAAATTGGCAAAAAGATTTTTTTTGCTTTATGGACAAAACGAATATATAATTCGTGTAACATTTGTAAGTAATTTTCGTAGTAGTATTTGTAGAGAGATAAATAATTTGGTTTTAATAAACCCATCTAGCAGTTGAACTTATAATTACATAAATCTATTTAACGGTTAAGTTGCATCTCACCAATCAATAATAATTGTTGACTAATTTATTCACAGAGTTTTAATAGTACAGTAAGAACCTCATGCCCAGTTTTACCTTATGGTTATAAAGCCCAAAGCCTTATTATTAAGTTAGATGATCGTAGTCTAGTCTTTAGTATATTAATTTTTATTATTTAACTAGTTGCAACTTTTATTAATTGTACTAACCTGACATGAATCTTTCAGGCCAACTCCTGGATATCCTGCGCACAACATGTTGTCCGTTATCATTTTTGCCGAATAATTGGTTAATCTGCATTCATCGTTACTTATCACAGGTACCTATAATAAATGTTTTATTAATATTTTTATTTGGTATTAGACTTCCTAATAGATTGACTTCATATTTTTAAACAATATTATATACTTTTGTTTAAAAGAACTAAGGAACACTTTTAATTATCATCCACATTTTTCAGAAAATCTTAATCAGATTTCTGAAATCCAAAATTTATTTTGAACTATTATTTTTGGTGAACGGGAATTTGTGTTATTTACACAAAAACTTATATGTATATGTATGTTATACAATTATAGATCTACATGCAATATAGTATATGAATAATTTAAATATTTTTGTACCTCGACTTCTTGCAAAATGCACGACGGTTTTCCATCTTCTTTCAAGGTACCCCAGCCCGTCGCCGTAGCCCTCGTTCCAACGTACAAATTATCTAATAGATAAACATATTATTTAATTTGATAGAGATTTTTTTATTTGCTTAATGATCTAACTACGTAAGACTTCGAAGACAATGGTTTAATGGACAAAGTAGAAATAATGAATCTAAAAACTACGCCTAGTGTATCACTGTAAAATATTTACAGCTATGATAGTATAATTGCTTAAAAATGAAAAAAATTGAATTGATTTTTTTTTACTTGGATATTTTAAGCATTTTTTAGTGTGCCTAAAATATCATTTTTGAATTTTTTTTTAGTTTAAAAAAATAGCATAAAATATCATATCACACAATTATAATCCTTGTCTTTTTGGATCAATACATTTAGGATGTTCAGTCAACATGTTTTGACTGGCCATGTCTGAGTAGGTACATCATTTCTGATGGAAAGAATTAAATGAATAATCAAATTGTATTTTATGAATTCTTTTTCTTAACATCTTCCTATCAATTTTTAATTTCTTCATATTAAATGAAATAAAAATACCGAAAAATGCTCTTTCATAAAAATCAAGAATTATACGATTGATCAATATATGTGATAATCTGTTTTGAACGATTGGAAGGTCTGTAAATATATTTGTTCAAAATTACATCGTGCTCATATAATACAACGTGTTTTAATGATCAATCCTGGTCTCCTGGATTTGTGCAATTAATGGTGTGATCTAATCTTATAGACCAGGGTATTGGTTTGAGAAATGTATCTAGAAGATATACATATATATATATATATATATATATATATATATATACATTTGATTCGTTCAAAATGTATTGATTACCTAGTAGAGACTTCGAAAATAGTTTAATCCAGGGACTCTGTATAAGATTTAGTGGGTGTCATATAAGATTCTGGTACACAAATAGACTATTTGTGGTAATAATATCCAGTGTTAATAATGGATAATATTGTAATAGTTAAAAATAGATATGTTATACCAGGCATCTATAAAGTATGGCACTCTATAAAGTAATCAGGAAAGTCGCAAATATTGAGTGATTTTTAAATAAGAGAAAATGTTTAATTATAATTATTTTTCTAACGTAGCTCGCCAATGCAATTCAACCTACGTTGAAGTACTTAAAGACGAATTCTAAAGACTTAAAGACTCTAAAGCTTATGTGCCTATATTTTCCTTCCTCATAAAACCAGATTTAATAGATCCATCAATAATACCGTTTGATTTGTTGATTTTCGAGTGGATTAATGTTGATAATTTTGAAGTGGAAATTATCGAACTAATGTCTTCAGAATTATGAAAAACAAAATTGAAGGAATTACAAAAAAATCTGGAAGATGACTCTATGGACAAATCGACAGCCATATTAAATTGTTGAATGACAGTGCCGGAAAAGAATTAATTGTTTAAAGAAAATTGTATGCGCTCTCCTTTCAGCTTTTGGTTCCACACATCTCTGTGAACAATTTTTTTCTCACATGAAACATATTTTGAGTTCACAAAGAAATCGTTTAATAACTAAACATTCAGAATCTTGTGTTAAATTAAAAGTTACAAATTATACCTTGGATATTGAAATGTTAAGATAAAATGTGCAGGCACAAGGTTCGCTTTAAAGTTGTTTAGTTTATATTAGAAATTTATGTTATTTGTTAATAAATATGTTTAAAAGATAAATTTGGTTATAATTCTTCTCTCCTAAAACCTAACTATATATTTCAAAATTAAGGCGGCACTCTAAATCATATTGGTAGAGTGGCTTGGCACACTACAGTTAAAAGCTTGCCGACCCCTGTGTTATACTATACCAGTCTTATGAAGTGGTAATTAATTGTTTTTGAAAAGAATTATTCGAGGTTTTGAAAAAGTCAAAGATTGAAAAACCGCCAGCCTGATTTTATTAATCTAATGAACCAGTATCTGATAATATACGAAAAATGGTACATCATGTTTTGAAGTTTCATTAATTAAAAATATTTTCTTAATCAATTGCATGAAAAATGCAAAACTTTCTTTAAGCGTTTGGTGTCAAATTAATCGCAATTAAGAAAGCACTAGAGGTGATGATAAATCATAAGTTTGCGAAAACAATTATTTATACTAGCAGTCAAAGTTGCATAAAAAATCTATCAAATTTTGCAAATTCCACAATTTTGTAAGAAGTAATATATTATGAAATCTAATCTGAATTATCTGAAGGAGGAACTATTAAAATCGTATGCATTAGAGCACATTTTGGCACATTTTTAACTTAGGCACCACAGGAAATGAAATAAAAGACAGAAGAGCGAAATCGGCAGTTGCTGATGCATTAAGAATGCCACATTCATGGTCCATAAACAAGCAACAAAAAACTTAGGTTCTATATATTTATAAAGAATCTTTTTTTTTATTCTCGAAATAATATATTTATTCAAATATACCTGCACTTGTTGGAAGACAAATCGGCCTGATGAAGTCTGTGATAGGAACTCTGTCGTTTAGTCGGAGCAGAGCAATATCATTGTCGAAATTAAGAAAGCTGAATTCTTGGGCTATGGCTCTCAGCACGAATCTCGTTTCTGGTCTCTTTGTATCGTTGCATCTATCGTGTTCTCCAAATGTCACTTTTATCATGAACCACATAAACCTGTTGACAAAAATACAGGTTTCAGTCTATTTTACGATCCATAAACGTGGAGAGGATCTTACTCGTAAAACATAAGAGGAATATGCTGGTTAATTGACTAAGATGATTATCTTTGTAAAAGATTCAGCAAGACATCACACATATGATATACAAAACGTATAAACACAAATTCCATGTTATATTTAAAACATATTATTCATTATTATTAAAAAAACTATGAACATATAACAGTAAAAGAACAAAGTGCTTACAAAGTTGTGGTGTGTAAGTAAAGGGCATAAATAATATATCTCAATGCATAGATATAGCATTAATGAACTATATGCATATTAAGTAACATAATTTTATTAATTTCTCGTAGGGCAAGTTATTGTAATCGCAAAAAAATCGAAAATGAAAATTTTTATATATCTTTACGGTTCAAAGGTTTCTGAACATTTTGGCATACCTTAGCAAAAATGGATGTATGTGAAAAATGAATACAATTTTTGTCGACGATTTTGAGAATACGGATCAACCGATTTGAATGATCAAAAAAGACACTCGATTTCTATTGATAAGGAAACGTGCTGATTAGTTTTTGGCTAAGGCTGTTCTGAAGATACTGGGCAAAAAATGCCAAAAATAGTAATTCAATTTTTGAGAGAACGGAGCGTCCGATTTGAAGGATTCAAAAAACATTTTTTTTTATTGACAAAATGAAGAAATGATGAAATTTTTGGAAAGGCAGGTCTAGCGTTTTCTGAGATCCAATAAAAGAAGTTTAAAAAAATGCCATTTGTCAGACAAAAGTGATATGCACATCTAATTATCAGACATTTTATAGAGATTTTAATAATAAGAATGAATTTTGTTTACATTTTTACGGATTCCGTACCAATGTTTATCTATTAGACGCGACGTTTCGATATTTCATTTCTACGCAGCTAACGTGTCGCGATTGCTTTGAAAAAAATTCAACATTTCCAAATTATTTCAAAGTATAAACAAAATCAAATTTTTCAAAAAAGTCAATCTTTTTCAAAAAGTTCAAAAATTTCTAAGATCGATTTTTCACAAAGTTCTATAAGAATATTGAATTTTTTTCGAAAAATTTAATTTTTGGTACGGGAAGTTCCAGCAATTTACCTCAAGGCACGATGCTATGTATCACTAATTAATCCAAATTATACAAACAATCTAGGTAATCGACAGAACTTGCTAACTTACACCTAAATTCGGTGTAAGTAGCATTTTTCCTTAATTCGACTAGCATGATACACATTGGTGTATTACACATAAATACATACGCGGTGTGTATTTTTTAAGAGCTTGAACTATTCCAAATTTTAAAGATTATTTATATGTTAACCCACTTTTTCATGTCTATTATATTTTTTAGGATGTTTGTTTGGATCATAAACTCTATTACTATTCAAAGTTTCGTTGAGAATGTCAAAAAATAGCAATTAATTAAGAAGGATTCCCAACTGATCTTTACCAGAAACTAATCAGTATAACTCTCCACTGATATCTTTCAAAAAGTTTTCGTATTTTCTTAAACGGTTTAAGATTTTTTTAGGGAAATATTGGCAAAAGGCTAATCGTCACGGAAAACCAATGAAAGTTTTTATCAGGTTTTATCAAATGATTTTAAAATTTTTGAAATTGATGAAACCACCTTTGAGGAAGGTCATATTTAAGCACACTTACATAATTCGACACATTTTTTTTTCAATTTTGGTATCAAACGATTGAGAATTATTTGAAACGTCGACAAAACATTGTATTTTGTGGAAAACAAAATGCTGCTTCAGAAAGTTGATAAAATAAAATTAAATAGGAATTGATACATCGAGAATTTTGATGGACAATTTATTTTATATCAGGTTTATAGGAAGATTCTTGTTGAGTCTCCTTTTAGCAAATGAGCCACTTGTGGATAACTAGTGAATTTTTTCATGATGTTTAATACAGCTCTATTTGATTCATACTAAACATGAAATTCACTTGAAAAAAGATGTTGAGGCAACATAATACAGAATTTAAACCTGTTTTGATAATTAGGCAAACGTCTCGAAATGCTTGCAACTTTAACACTATTTATTAAAGTTTGAGCTAAAAATAGTAGTGTAGTGCGGTCATATTTATATCAATATATCTTTACTTGATAGTTATAAATATTTTATTTTATAAATGATGAATTTATTCCTGAAATCTGGGCCACCATTACCATTTGGCACACAATTCACAAAAGCACAATGCCATAATTTGGGGGCATGCCATCTCATATTCACGAACGTCACATTTCCGAACAATGTTCCGTTTGTATTTGTCGCCCATTGTGAATCAACGGAGGAATTTCAAATATTTCACACATGATATGAATCGATAATACGACAACGAGCAATCAGCAAAGTTATATTTTGAGAAAACATATTCTTAATATTGATAATAAAAATTTACAAGAGCCATGGTATTGTGTATATTGGCGTGTGCCGATTTTATTTTGCGACGAACCGTGGATTGAGACAAAAATCTTTCTGATTTCTAAAAACAATTTATGGGCATGGTAAAAAAATAGTGGGTATGTTTACACTACTGTTATAAGCAAGTGTTATGTAAATTAGATTAGAAACAAATTAAAACTAAAATCCTACATTAAAGTATTTCTAAAATTTTCAACTGAAATGTTTTCGCTGTCACTGGAAATCAATCAATACCATTTCTATTTCATATGTTTGAAAAAAAACTAATAAAAATAATATCTGTAGTCGTATTAATTATAGTGCACAATTACACGATTGGATGTTTTAAATATACGGCCCATTAGTCAAAATTTTATTGCATTTTTAAAATTCAATCACTTTTCGTAAGGCTATAATATTAACTTCCCGTAGGGTAAGTTATTGTAATGGGCCGAAAATCTGAATTGAAAATTTTTACATTTCTCGACGTTTTGAAGGTTTCTGAACATTTTGGCATACTTCAGAAAAAATGGATGTGTGTGTGTGTATGTATGTATGGATACAATTTTTGCCCACGTTTTCGGGCGTACGGATCAACCGATTTGAATGGTTCAAAAAACATTCGATTCCTATTGATAAGGAGATGTGCTGATTAGTTTTTGGCAAAGGCAGGTCCAGCAGTTACGGAGATAAGGAGCAAAGAGTGCAGAAAATAGAAATCGAGTTTTTGAGAGAACGGAACATCCGATTTGAAAGATCTAAAAAACATTCAATTAGTAATGATTGGGAGAACGGGTTATTAGTTTTTCGCAAAGGCAGGCCTAGCCATTTTGTAGATACAGAGCAAAATGTACAAAAAATGGCAGTTTTTGAGAGAACTAAGCGTCTGATTCAATTGGTTCAAAGAACTTTCTGCTTGTCTTAACAAAATAATTGATTTTGGAAAAAAAAATTTTGTTTCAATTTTTTTTTTTAATTTTTTGTATATCGAAAATAATTCAGATTTTATTTTTAACTCTGACTATAGTTGTAATATACTTTAAACGAATAATTTTAACTCTGCAATTCAGTTTATATAATTTTATAATTTATATATATATTCTATAATTTAAAAACATTCAGTATTCCTCGAACATTTCCTTACGGTACGGGAAGTTCCAGCAATTTGCCTTAAGGCACGATGCCACCCACCCCACTAGTTTATTTAATTATTCATAAGCAAGTTGTAATCAATAATACTAAATATTATTTCAGACTCTTGTCAAGCTTATTCATAATTAATACTTAAAGGAAAGTAATTTTATAATATTTATGGTATTTTTTGTTGCTCATATCAATTTTGTAAATAAGACATTAAAGTCTTGATTAACAAAAATAAATTGTAACAAAAAAAAAATAATAATATTTATGGAAGCTGCGCGATTTTTGCTTCTGAAAAAAAGGGCTGAAAAAGAGCATTCGAACATGAAATACAATGTTCATCATCAAGTTCTTCATATTAAAGCTTGTTAGACCACCAGTCAAGCCCAAAATTCTTGCACAAGGTTGAAAGTATTTTAAGATGTTCGCCCTGTTGAGTTTTATGAAGAACACTAAAAAGTTTTATTTTAACATTTAACAATGAAGAAACGGCCGAATGATATATAATGAACGGAAAATTTCAAAATCGGTGTTCATATCAGGATTTTTTGAGAAAACGCGGATTTTTTTTTTTGCACTTTTTTGCTAAAACTAATAATCGCATACTTGTTGTATCTTGATATCAATTATACATACACATACTTGTTGTATCTTGAGGTCACTCTTAGTCTCAAACGATTCAAAATGACGAATAAAATAAAATTAGCAAGTCGTATATTCTGGGAAAACCTAAACTTATTTGCGATATTAATAATTCAACAACGTAATAAAGAATAAAATTCTGTAATATTTATGTATTAATTTCAGAGATATCCGAATATTTATCCGACGTGATCACTGAGGTGATCTATCTTTAAGCAAGTAATAGTTATTATTAGAAGAAATTGAACAAAAAATCTTACTTTTACTTTTTAAAAGCATATATTATGTTATTGTAGGGCGTTGACTCGATGCAATAATGGGAAGTTGTTCGAGCAAATATACTCATATTTCTCCCTTTGGACCATATCTCAAAATCTACCGTAAATTGGCACAGCCGTACCCAGTCTGCTAATAAAACTAATTATAGTGTGGATCAGATGCATAACTTTAATTTGTGTTTACCTGCAATATATTTGCAAAATTTCGATACGAATAAATTAATTAATAGATGAGCTTTTAAACATTTGAAGTTTTTAAAAAAACTATCGTTTGTTATTTTGCTGTAAGTTGAACATTAGTAGTTATTTACAAGCAATTAGTTTTGTTTTATGTGATATGTATTTTTTGTGACATGTATTTTTTGTATTTTTTGGATGAAATTTAAACAGATAAATAAAAATCTAACTTAACTGAAACAAAATACGGAAAAGAAAATGAAAGGAATTTCAATACAAGAAAACAAAAGATTTTACAAAGACTTTTTGTTTAAAAAATATGTTTTTTAATTATTATATTATAATTCATAATCTTTGTTCAAATGATTATGCTGTGTTGTGTTACATATTTTTGACAATAAAAGTCGTTATAAACCAATTTCATGTTTATAGCTGTTGTTTTGTTAACCTATTATTATGCCTGTCACAACCATCCTGGGGTATGGATTGTTGTGATACTAGCCCGTTTCTTTTGATTTGATTTGATGACTTATCAATCGAATTTAAGGGCAGTATTTCATTAGTTCCACTTACATTTAGACAAATGTTCAAATTACCATTTAATTTAATTTTCTCTCAGCTAACTGGTGAATTAACAAAATTATTGCTGATCAAAAAACGTGGCACAATCGTACCCAGTCTCGCCAATAAGTAATTGTAAATAAAATCATGGAAGAAAAAACTTCTAAACATTACATTGATTACTATAAGAGACAAAAATGCATTCTTAGAAGCTTAAATATTTAATAATTTTATTTTTTATTATATTGTTAACTAATGCATCGCATCAGTCGAAGTAAATTATGGAAACAAGATATGTTTATACTAAAATTTTCACTTTCAAATTGCAGTAGGGTGCATGGCATCGTGCCGTAATTAAAAATCTTGGTACGGAACCCAAAAAAATTTACACAAACTGTATACACATTATTAAAATGACATTTTTTTCACCTTATTTTCATTAAGAGTCCATAACCACTAGACCTGCCTAAAAATTTAATCAGTTCTTCATATTTTCAATACAAGTACAGTGTTTTTTAAATTATTAAAATCGGACGCTTCGTTCTCTTCAAAACTGAGTTACCGTTTTTGGCACTTTTTCCTCGTATCTTCGAAACGGCTAGACCTGTCTTCCCCAAAAACTAATCAGCACGTCTTCTTATCAACATGAATCTAATGCTTTTTGAATTATTCAAATCGATTGATCGGTGTTCCCGAAAACGTCGACAAAAATTTGTATCCGCACACATACACACATGCTCGCACACATACACACACATCAATTTTTTCTAATGTATGCCAAAATATTTAGAAACCTTCGAAACGTAAAGATATATGAAAATTTTCATTTTCGATTTTTTTGAGATTACTATCCCCTACGGGAAGTTAAAAGTACAACACGTATTAATTTTATGCATCTGATCCACCCTGGTTTCACTGTGATCTTTGATTATATTTTGGGTAAGTTTAGGGAAATTTCAGAAAGCAGGAAGTTATCTAACTTTCCGGTCAGATGAACATTTCATCTACTACGTCTCTTACCCTTTGACGCAATGTGCGGCAGTGAGGACGTATCGGTCGTTGATGAGCATGCCGCCGCAATAGAAGCGGTTGAAGTAGCTCAGCCGGGCCATCCAGGGGAACTCGTTCACGCCGGCCGCCTGGCCGCCCACGATACGCGACGCGTCGTTGCGCTCGCCGCAGCCTGCAACCGGGATATAAATGATTTAGGGAAATACATGTGATATGAATGGTTTTTATGAGTTTGATGATGATGTTACTTTGTTGTGAATAAAAATCAAAACGCAGTATCAAAATGAGAATATACTGTGAAATTCATAACTTAGTTCGCGGATTAATTTGACTCTCTTAACTTACAATAAATGAAATAATTGTTACCGTACAACAAATTAATTTTCAATTTGCATTGAGTAGAAGCGTACCTTGAAAATTATCATCTTATGAATATATCATTAATATAACAAATCATGGCATTATGAAGAAATAAAAAAAAATAATGAAAATAATGGAACTTAAATATATATATATATATATATATATATATATATATATATACTAGCTAATCCGGCATATGTTGTTTTATCATATAAGGTATATGTAAACAATTTCTAGAATATCCAAAAATTGTCATTTTAAATGTAAAAGTTGATATTTTGAGTTTCTAACACCATTTACGATCCGTTTAATCATGTTTTTGTGTAAATAAAACTAAAAATAAAACTACTTACTACAATTAAATAATATTTATCTAGAACATCCTATCAAATTTGTCAAAACATATCTGTCAAAACCATTTGACATTTGACGTATGAGCCGCAGTCGATTGTGCGATTTTGAATTACGCTTCTTAAAAAAAATTAAATAAAAAATGTCGTTTTTAGGCGTTTTGAAATAAATTTTTTATCTTTCCCACAACCTCTGAATTAGCACGAATATTTCAAGTCTAAGACTGGCTAAATCGGTTCAGCGATTTTCGAGTTTTAACGAATCTAGCATAATATCGAGCTCAATTTATATATATATATATATATATATATATATATATATTATACTTCCGGTCCTACCTTGGATGCAATGCATGCGAAAAATGCTGGCGCACGCCTTAGGGGGCGCCAACGCGAGATTCGGAAATTAAGTTTATAATATATTATTTATATATTTTTTAAATATAAAATCAACAATACTTAAGATTATAATAAATAATCTAACTCAACTATGGATGCGGAAACACAAAAAGCATATTTAGTTTGCAATGAGATATCAGTAGAAACAATTAACCGATTAATAACTCTGCAAATTAGTAAATTATTGTTCTGCTTATTGCCTAATCTACTTATTTAATTTTTCTTCGTTTGAAGTTAACTTGGAATAGAAAAAGAAATTATCTAGTGCTCAATTCCGTGAGCGCAAACCTGCGAAAGATTAAATTAATTGTTGGGCATTATTGACGAAAAATTGCGAACTGATTTAATTGAAACGGAACTTATTGACAAAATAGATGCAAATTATACAATTAAAACATATGCAATTATAGATACAAACGGGTTATGGAAATAGAGAAAATATGAATGATGGAAGCAAAATTTACTTTGGAACAAAAATCGTTGAGCTTTTTTTTATGCCATTGAGTGTTGCCCATACTCTAAATTTAATTATTAACTATGCAGACATAATACTGATACAAATATAATTAGTTTATTTTTCAATATAGTAATTTTTTATATGTAATTTTTTATATGTAAAAATATGTATTTTTTTGCACCTTTTACTAATCGAATTATAAACGAAGAATACAATACTTTTAAAATTCGTTAAAAATTTAACATGAACCCTTAAATACCTCGGTATGGTATTGGGTAGACAATTGAATTGGAAATCACATATAGTGACAAAAAGACAACACATGAAAAACATGAGAAGATACCTGCATTAGTTAATGGTTGATTAGTAGAAAATCTATACTATCAGTTTATGATAAAATTCTAATACATAAATCAATATGTAAACCGATATGGACCTACAGTATTCAATTGTGGGGATCCAGTAAAAAAACAACATAAACGTGATACAGTGCGTCCAAAATAAACCTTTGTGACAAATAGTGGGAGCACCTAGATACACGCCAAATTGGTTAATTTACCAGGATATTAATATCATACAGTTGCAGAGCAATGTGCAACTGCAGAGGAAATAACTAAAATCTCAAGAAAAACAAAGCAAAACTTGAAGGGCATTTCAACCATATAGCAGCCAAGTTCTATCACCACCAACCATGAATTTAGACTAAAAAGTAATTAAAAGTATAATAGTAATTAGAAAGCAGTACTAACAATAAGATAAATTTAGTATCTAATCATTACATATATTTGAGTTATTACTTGACTAATAGTTACTGTTGGGTATTCTTGTTTATACCCAAACCATTCACTAAATGTCATTTATGACAGCTTGTGAATTAATACTGGAAATAAAAAATTCTAACTCTGCTGATGAATATTTCTGGCAAAATATCAGATCGTGGTTATATACGGTGTTATCCTTGTGAAAATGTGCCCATGAAATTCATATTTTGCATTGATTGAATATTGTACCTATTATATTATAAAATCTTTTTAAAATTGAAATTAAGACATTGGATTTGTTTTCTCCTAGCTGTCCACATAGGCGGTATAGAAAGTGATACTGATGACAAATTTTGGGAAAAGAGTAAAAAACCATTTCTATAATTATGAATTAACAGAGAATTATGCTGTACATAGTAAGATGATTGTTTGTTTGATACGTATCATGCGTTGTGATGTAGTTCATTTAGCTTAGACATTATTATTACTATGAAAATAGCCCTACTTTATAAGTAATTTTTAGTGTATATATATATATATATATATATATATATACATATATATACAGGGCCGGTCCTGCCTTGCATGCGATGCATGCAAAAAATGCGGGCGCAAGCCTTAGGGGGCGCCAAAACAAGTTTCGGAAATTAAATTTGTAATATAATATTTATATTTTTTTATATAAAATCTAGAATTATTTATTTAAAGTCTAGAATACTTAATAAATTATAATAAATAATTTAACTTAACTAGGGATTCGAAGACACAAAAAGCATATTTATTTTGCAATGTGATATCAGTAGAAACAATTAGTAGGCGATTAATTACTAACAGCCAATTAGTAAATAACAGCTCTGTTTATTGCTTAATCTACTTATTCAATTGTTTTTTTTTTGTTTGAAGTTACGGGGGAATCGAAAAAGAAATTATCTAGTGTTCAATCCCGTAAGCGCACCCCTGCGAAAGGTTAAATTAATTTTTGGGCATTATTGACGAAAAATTGCAAGCTGATTTAGTTTGAACAAATTATAATCGGGAAAATGAAAAATGAAGAGTCAGTGCTTAGAAAAATGTCTGTTTATTCCGAAAAATTGAATTGTAACTTTTGCTTTTGTTGCAAATGTTTTGCATCTGTTGAACAAATATGAAAAATGGAAACAAAATTTACTTTGTAACGAAAATCTTAAGGCTTGTTTTATACCTAGTGATGTCCATACTCTAAATTTAATAATTATTAACTATACAGAAATAATACATATCAAATATAATGAGTTTTTTTTTTCAATATTGTTCAAGAAATGTGTAATTTCTTTGCATTTTTTACTGATTTTTGAACACTACTTCTAAAATACGTCAAAAATTTAACTTTAAAACAACAAGCTGATACTCTGAATATGACGGCTCTTAAGATATCAATAAGGAGAAGATTTCGACGCAATTTTGGATATTGTGAATGATGAAAAATTAAATTAAATTAAAATTTAAAAAATCCAACATGAAATACGAGTGTTATGTTTGAAAATTAAATGCTAGTTTTTTTAAATATTAATATTGCACATACGCTAAAAATAATTGAAAATTTCAAAATACTTGATTATAACCAACCCCCGAATCGCCTCGATTTTTAAATAAATTTAAAATCAATATATTTTATACGCTTCTAGATTATATCTCATTTTTTGTGCACTAAATCCAGAATAATTAAAAATTAATTTATTTATTTCACTTAATATTTTTGTTAAATTAAAGTTATAGAATTTAAGAAATGCATTTCAGAAATAGTATTTATTATTTTGATATCAAGTTCTTCATATCAAAATAATAAATACTATTTCTGAAATGCATTTCTTAAATTCTATAACTTTAATTTAACAAAAATATTAATTCTTTTGCTATGGTAGTCGAACTTACATCCTTAACCAATTTACTACATATTGAATATTACTAGAATGTGAAACTACGACAGAGATTGTTTTATTTATTGATATCGATAATAATAAATAAATTTAAAATCAATATATTTTATACCCTTCTAAATTATACAAATATGTTATATAAATATGAGAATATTTATATAATTTTAGTGATGAACTGTTAAAACGGTGAAAATTAATAGGGGGGGGCGCTAGAAAAAAAGTTACGTGCCCTGTATATATATATATATATATATATATATATATATATATATTAATATATTGATTTGTGTATATTGACAGTTTTTTTTAACTATATTCGTACTAGAGATGAGATTTTTTACTGGCTATATACCATTGAAAGAAGTCATTTACGGACAAGGATTATCGTGTACAGAATATAGAATACAAAATTGCATTATTTTGGGACTTTTTATACCTAGGAAGTCATAAAATTGTCTGTGAGACGAGAAATCGATCGCTTCTTTCCATGCAAATCTTTGCATTAGTAAAAAATATCAAACAAATGTCTGTACGTGTTAAGCGATTTAGTATCAGTTTAGGGAAATCGGATATGACAAATCCTGTGAGACAACTCTTCCCGGATTCGCTCTGAAGGAGGAGTTGTATCGGAATGATACTTCCGGAGTGAGTTACCCATCTCTAATTCGTACCACATTTTTTTTTTACTTTTTCTGTTGAATTCTTTTTTAATTGAACATTTTAACATTTTTAAATTATACATAATTTGTTATGAGTGTTCTTTTTTTTGTTTGTAATTTTATTTAGGTATTAACTGTTTGTATATTGGTTAAATTTTCGCAACTCGCCAAAAGTCGAATATCGCCTTCAGTATTGTTTTTGTATTTGTATTTGTTTTGCAAAGGCATATATCATAATACAGTAACCGCGACTCGGTACAATCGGAAGAGTTTTATGGTATCCATTCTGTTAGAGGTCAGGGACCTCCTCGAATCTACATCAGAATTATTAAACTGTGTTAGTTCTGAATAAATTAATAAATGATTCGATAATTTATGTTAAACTTACGGCAAATGTGCGATGTGTTAAATGAGAATTCAGATCAATAACTCACTTTGCATATTTTTTACCAAAAATAACAAAACTTCTCGAAATATATATGTTCAAAAAAAATGTTGGCGTAGTTTTAAGATTGTTTCTAAAGGTATCATTAATATATATATATATATATATATATATATATATATATATACATATATATACAAACATACATATGGTTTCTAGGATTGTGTAATTCAGTGTCAAACATCCGTGTTTAAATTAAAATACTCGTAAGTTAGAATTAACTTTAATTAATGCAGCATAAGTTTCTACTTTAATAAAATAAAGCAAAAAAAGTTATTTACATTATACAGGTAAAATACCGAACAGCGATCAGTACTCAAGAGTGAATTAACTACGTAGCTTTATTATAGATGGCAACCCAAAAAGTTGTCTTATTTCTATATGATGGATTCTATTAGTACAATTTCTGTGTGTTAAGGGCTATTTTCACATGGAAATATATTGCTATATTCATTTCCAAGTGAAAACTGAAATTACTACTGCTTGACATCTGTCTGCCCGAGACAAATATTGCACCTGAGATCTCTAATTGAAATTCCATAGCTAATCCACGGGAAAACCCAAACAAAATTGAATTAATATATGTTAAAATGAAATTAAAATATACAACTGAAATTAAAGTTATTTTGAAGGTAACGAAAGTGATATAAAAACGCATGATAGAGAAATCAAAATGTAGTGAGTTAACCATACAAAAATTTTAATATGAAATATTCTTACAAAAAATAATGTACTGAATGTACCTAACATAGTCATAGTATTAACAAATATTGAACGAAATCTTATTAATAAACTTAAAGAGCAACGTCTAATATGTATAATTATTTTTAGTGTCTATGTGTGTGTGCGGATACATTTTTTGGTGGACGATTTCGAGGGCGGTTATTGATGAGGAGACTTTTGCAAAGTCTTTGGCAAAGGCAAAGGTAATTTTTGTACTTTGAACAATCAGAAGTTTCGATATTCTATAATCTGCTGAGATGATTATTTTTTACGAATGCCTATTAAACGTCAAAAAAAGCTGTAGTTTTCTGTTGTGAATATTTAGATAATAGAAATAATAATAGAAAAAAATTAAGACAGTTTGCTTCGAAAGCAGCAAAATCAATAATTACATAAAAAATTGTTTTCATATGCTTGTGGTACCAAATAAGTCTGATATGGAGTTCAGACTATGAAAAACTCATACAAAATTATTTTTTTATTTAATCAAAAGTGAAAAATATGACATATTTAATATGGAAGTTTTCATATGCATATACCTCTTTATCTATGATATAAATATTCGTATATTTTGGTATTGTTTCCTTTTTTCACATGCAGTTATCTATAATATTTTTGTATAATTTTTATTTATTTGTTCTAGAGCCTCATTTAATCATTAATATTTTAAATTGTTGTGGGGATTCAAATTTCAGATCACGTTTGAAGTTTAAAAATGATTATTTTTTCTCTTGACAGCTTTTAACAATGTCATTAGTTGTAGACGTTCGAATAAATATGAAAAAATTAAATTTCTTTCACTAGAAAAAAGAGAAACCCATAAAATATCGTAAATGCTAATAAACCGAAAAATTCCATTTATGATAACAGGAATAACAACACAAACATATTTATATTGAATTACTTGTTAACAATAAAATATTGTAAAATTAAAATGCTTTCTAGTACTCCAACGATGTATGTATATATTATATACATATGTACATATGTAGAACTTAAAACTTTTTGTGTTTTTCAGTTTTTTTTTTGTTTTTCATTAAATATTTGTTTGAATACACATTTCATTATATTCTCCATTACATAAATAAAAGCATTTAATTTTTTAAATTTTAATAAACAGTGTAATATTATTTTGAACGATGAATGAAAACGAGAAAAAAAATAAAAAAAACAATTTCTTTCATTTTCATTAGAAACCTATAATAAAAGAAAACAGGTTATAGAGAAACCTATATGTATATATACAATGTAGAACCCCGTTTAGACAATCATGCTTAATACGATTTCTCGCATAATACGTCACACATTACGCCAGTCCGCACTTTGAAACATAATGTTCTTATCCTGCATAATTCACTTTCTTGCACGTTTTTACTTTAATCTATGAAAAATCATGTTACAGGATTTTACAGTATATTTATAGAACAAAATAATAATAATAAAATAGTAAAACTCCATTTAGAAAATATTAGTGTGAGAAATTTTTCATTGCCATTTCATACCGCAGTGCCCAAATGAGCTATTTTCAGTTGGAAACATTTTTTGATCCACATTTTTCAGTAAAAATGAACCTCGCTGCTGCGGATGTCAGGTTGTCCAGAACGAAATTCGAACTCATGATCCCGTCCACACGAGTATATATTATATATATATATATATATATATATATATATATCACATTATGTGTGTGTTGTATATAAATATATAAATTATGAAGATTTTTTACTCACTACAACTGCAAGACGAGGCAGGTGTATCATGGGCAGGTGGATGATTTCCGAACACATCCCAAAAAATTCCTTGATTGCGCGGGCGGATCATTTTGCGTTGCAGACACGCACACTAATAAAATTGCGAAAATCGTATAACCGACAGGATACATTTTCAAATTAATTTATCTACTACACCTATTGTCACTATTCACAATTTCACTTTGATAATTAAATTGTACACACTGGATAATTTTGGCATCAATACATATTTGAAATTCTTCCAAACGTCGGTGGTTAAATGTTAGACGTTAAATGTTCATCGTCAGAGGAGACGAATGATTGTTTTGGTGATGTTGTATTTCGGTGTTTTACCGGGAAGGTTATTTACTTTCTGGAGGAATCAATGTCCGGCGCTGGCTGTTCAAGGCAATTAACTGAATTTTATCTTCGATGCGACTGCGCGCGTGACATGGCTAGTTGTTCTCAACAGTCGTCCCGTACATATCAATGACCACATCGATACTTGAACTTGACTGGGAAACCATATCCAGTATTATACTTGCTCCATGTGCGTTCTTTGCTTGCGGTAATAGACCGAGGGCTAAGCGAAATTCACTGTCTATTTTGTCCATCCATTGTTACATACAGTAGTCCTTCGATAAATGACACCACTGTTTTTGTCTAAAATTTGGGTGATTTAGTATAATTGGCAGGAATCGAAAATTAGCAAATGTGGATGCCAACTTTAAATATCAGGCAGCATTCTCAGCAGTTTATTTCATTATAGCATTTGTGTTTTCAAAAAATGGTTATAAGTTATTACCATTATACTTACCCTTCACTTACTGACAGTTTGAGTACGGGTTAGTATCATTGGTATTGG